CTGTATTCAGATTTGTACTGGAAGTGTATATGGTATAAAGAGGCAAACAGTTTTTGTTGTTGTTGTGAACTCTACCATGATGCCCCCTGAAACACTGGGAAAAAACTGGGACACAAGTTAGGGCTCCTGGAAAAAGAAGTAATTTTTTATTGACAAAATATAACAACAAATAGCACAAATAGCAATTTGCATAACATAGGTTTATTTGGCTCCTGAACATCTACAGTTCTTCATACTCAGCTGCATCACTTGAGTTCATAATTGATCTCAACCAGATGTCCTGTGGAACTTTGTTGCAAGTTTCTCTATGTAATGTGACTGAGCTAGCTAACCATCTTTCAAAATCTCTTTCCCAAATCCGGGAAGCCTCCTATTCACATCTGTATTTGTATCTGTTACATGTTAATTCAGTATAATGTATTTGTTTTCAGTTACATCCCTAATGAATGTAGGAACAGCTGAAACAACCCCCATGCACTTAAGGGTTAAGATGAGTAGTAACAGCGTAAATCCTTGGCTGCATGGATTAAATGAATAGAACTTGATGAACAAGATTGTGTGTTTTAGTTCCAGTGCCTTCATGTCTCTTGTTGCTAAAGGGTATATTTGTGCCTGCTGGTGTAAAGTGTATACTAATTTTATTACGTTTGATTGTTAACTGTGATTTTGAGTATTTTTGTTACATTGTTCTCATTGCATTTTCTGTATTTGGGGATGTATTCACACTAGGCTAGATAAAGCATAGTAAGCATTTTAAAAGGTTTTATACATAGACTCAATGAAAAGCATACAAAAACAGCCAAAAAAAAAAGCCTCAGACAGCCAAGGTTTAACTTCAGTGATAGTAAGTGTTGCTTTCAGTCAACTAATACCAAATAGTCAGTCAAAAAAACCAATACCAACCAGACAGCTTTAACATCAGTGATGCTGTTAGATATTATTGGTCTTTAACTTTCTCCCCAACCACATGGAACACTCATTCCCAGGAAAATCAATCTAATCTGTCCAAACAATTAAGCAAAATGCACTAAGGACTGTTGCAGATAAACGAAGTGTAGCTTTGATAGTTATGACAGCTAAAGTCTCACAATGAGTTAGTCTGGAGTTTACAAAAGTACTCATTATTATGAAGCCATTTTTATAAATGTCTAAAGGATAGGTGCTGTGGAAATTTTCCCATGTCCTGTCCCATTGGTCCATTGCTGCCATTAATCACGCACCAGTTGTGGATCTGCAGCACAGCCAGACTCACACTCACCTGCTGATCTACAAGGTCACCCTACTACATTAAGCAGGAGGGACCAAGAAGGGCACTTATATTGACAAGTAGGCTGTCACTGTTTCACTCTTTGCAAAAACACAATAAGCCAAACTCTAACACAGCTTGAAGTGCTAATATTCAAGCCTCTTCATCAAAAGACTGCTGTACATCACCTCTCAACCTTAGGTTTTTTGTACTAAATTGGTGTGAATATGCCCTTGATTCGCTGTGCATTCACGTATCTGGGCAGAATCACTGATTTCTGAATTGTGCAGTATGAAAAGGATTGCATCTGTACATATAAAATCACAGCTACTATTGTGACTGATTGTGGCCATCAGGTTTATTCAGCACTGAAATACAGCTTTCCTTGCTTCCTGTGGTATATACAATGACTCCAGGACTACATTCTCTCTCTCTACACACATCTCTGTACACTCAATATCTGAATATCACTTGCTCATTAGTCGAGTCATTGGGAACAAAGGATATTAGAAATGAAATATTATGACTCACTCCTCTGGAAATTAGGATTCAGAGGTAATAGAAAAGATGGACTGCCTTTACTTTATTGTAGTGGACAGCTGGAGGACACTAATACGGTGGGTGTCTATGAGGAAGCTTGTTTGTTACTATGAATCAGCCAAGGCATTAGTTTGCTCAAGGTTATAAAATGCACATGAGTGCACCAGAGGTATAAATACTGTTTAGGTCACTGATACACACACAGTGTTTAGTATGACTAGGCTGCTGAAAGTTTTATCATATACTGAATATGTAAAAATAGGACCAGGAGTTGATATGTCTCTTAGTGAACTTTGAGGAGAATGTTTAAAGCTCGTGTTGACCTTAGAAACACGGAAATATGCCCTGGCGGAACATACTGCAAGCCTTCCAGTCAGAATAGGATGAACTTTATTTGTGTATACTTTTAAAATCTGTTTTTAAAAAAAATCTATTTTAGAAAATAAAAATGAATTGCTGCTTGTGTGCTCAGGTCTCTGCAGGAATTGACTAAAAGCCCCCTTTAGTACTTCAACCAAACTATTACATAAATATTTCCAGCAATTTTTTTACCCACACAATTAATTGACTTCATGCTGACTGTCCATGTTGTATAATACAGTGAAGGCTGGCTGTGATATTAGATGGGAAGGTTACAATATAATATCTCTCAATAGCTCAACAAAGAAACTATTAGAATTAAGTAAGGCATTATATCATGATGTCTCATTAATGCAATAACCAAATGGGGCAAACTACTGCACATAAACACATAAAGACTGAACTACATTCATGGTGTTTATTGTTCTAGGTAACCAAACGTGGCAAAAAAGAAAAGTTTTTCATTAAAATAAAAAACCCTAAGCATGGTGTTGTTCCCTGTTCTTTTGTATAACTTGTACTTTCGTTGGACAATGTGTGCTTAATCTATCAACTTTTAGTTTCTTCTACAAAGGCATGTTGGGGAAAAATGGGTGATAGAGTAAAAAATCCACCTTTGTGTTCATGTTCATTACACCTGTCACTGTATTTCACCCTTCTCGATCACAACTGATGATATGTTACAGATGTATCAACAAAGTGGACTGTAAATATACTGAATAAGCACAAATTGAGATCAAATTTATGGGATGTCTGTCTGTTTTTCTTACGACCATTAGTGGTGTTGTTGTGCATGGGTACATGAAAATCCAAAATATACCACCTAAAAACATTTGTTAACAGCAAATATTCTGATGTGGGTGCCAAAAATGAAACTTTATTTTAATGTCTTTTTATCTTTTAAAGACAGTGGGGCTTAGCCCTGCTAGCACATTTGTACCAGCCTCCCATGAACATAATCCAGTGTCTGTTCAAGTCTGGAGGCTATTAAGATGTCTGTAGGGTGTGCCTTGGCACCAGGTCAACATGAATTCACACATTTATTTTTATAGAGTACCTCCAGGGGAGTGAAACCTCAGACTAATGTCCAAAACGAGAAACATTTCTGCTCTGTGGCACGTACTACAGGATGTGCCAGGGACCCTAGCACTGATTTACTGACTATTAAAACCCTCTTTACAGCCAAAGGTAGATTTAAAATGTAGGAGTCATTTAGGAACTCAGGCTAGCTCACAGATAATGTACATCTGGCACTGATGAAATTACAGATCACTTTTTTATACTATAAAACTACTGAACTATGAATAAGAACTGAGTTGCTTTTACTGTACAATAACCCATATATGAAGTTATTTCTTTTATAGATACAAGGGGAAAATCAGATAGCCTATGATTCTGGCAGGATACCAAGGAGTGAAACATGGTTATCTGTGCACAGCTGTGCTGATGCCTCGGAGCTGTTATCATCAGACGGAGATGGGCTAGAGTCAAATATATTGCCCCAACTGAGATTTTTTAGTGGGGACATAAAACCTGGCTCACATTCACAGGTGTCCTTGTCCACTTTATGAATAAAGGGTCTGAAGTAGCAGGCATGTAGCTTTGAAAGTATCATTGAGCCCCTCTGGACAGGGGTTTGGTGCAGTATATATAGTGGTCTTAAACACATTTACAAAATAGGTGCTTAAATGAAAGTCATGGTACAATCTACATTCATATTACATTTCTTTATCTTTTATAAAGTCCTGCCAAGGATAATGAGAAGGTGATGAGGGCCCTGACTAAATTAAAATGCAATTAGATGAAATACAGCAATAATGAGAGGGTAATTATCATGTTTTTTTACGGTGGGGTATGAAGAATATTCCCCAGCCTCCTCAAAGACAAGCTACCACACACAACACTGTTGATATAAGCAGATCAGTGATTCTAATGAAGTCATTTATGCTGGATAATCCAATCATGCTCTTCATCAGTGGCCAAATATGCAGCTGATGGAGTGAACCATTGGTAAAGTGGCATGAGATGTGCTTCAGTTAAACAGAGTTGGTGGATTTACACCAAAGCTAACAGGTGGAAGGAAGGAAGTAAACAGAAGATGACTACAGTCTCATTCTACAATCAGCATATCAGGGATGTAACCAAATATGAGTACATTATTCAGATTGAATAGATAATGTTTTCTGAAGAGATACAAATACAGATACGAACAGGAGTTAAAAAATGAAAATCTTACAGAAAATCATGTGCCCACTATAATTAATTTGATGGTATATATTATATTAATGAAAAATTACTTTTTTATTTTTCCAGCATCCCTGTCTTGTTCCACTGTTTTCAAGTGTTTGAAAACACTAGGGACATAGTTGTAGAGTTCATATTTAATTTAACAAATATAATTGTAAAAAAGTCTGGTTTAGGGCGTGCCTATTTCCAGTTCAAATCTGAATACAGTTACAGATATGAATATTTGGAACAATAAACAGATACAGAAACAGATACAGATAGTGGTACTGCTTTATACCCCTAAAGCATAGTATATACAGAATCTATTCTCCTTATAGCTTTGTCATGCATATGAAAGTATAGCCCATGTAGAATTTTCTCCCACAGTACAAAAAAGAAAGTAACATATACAGCAAGCATGACTGTAAGCTATATTTGTAGGTAAGCAGACACTAACTACGATGAATGATCATTGCATCAATGAGCCACTGAGTAAAGGAGCCCAATGGGAAATTCATTGATGGAGTCAAAGTGGATGAATCCAGCAGCACAATTAGCCGATTAGACACCATGAGGGGACCATCAGTGACTGATTTAAGTAGTAGTACTGATTTGGTTGATGCTCGGTTCCCTGGTGGACTAGTGGCTAGCATGCGGCGGTCTCATTGCCGTAGTCCAAGTTCAATTCCCGGTCAGGGAACCAATCCCAGCCACTGGAGGGTTGCATGAGCCAGTGCACTCTCAATACTGTTCCCAAGCCCAGAAATGGGGAGGGTTGTGCCAGGAAGGGCATAAAAACTTGTGCCAGAATCAAAATATGTGGACGGGCGATCCCCTGTGGTGACCCTGAACCGGAACAGCCGAAAGAGGGGGAAAAACCTGATTTGGTTGATGCTCCATATATAAACTCCTACAATACAATAACTGAAGATACCTGAGAAAATGAGCCAAGGATGATCTGTTTCAGACATTGCTGCCACTGACTAAACATTTGGCACCTGAAATGTAGACTTTTGTCAGGAAACTGCTTTATTTTGACTGGGTCTCGAAATTGTGTTTTGCTGTGTTTCTTTGTTTCCCTTTGATTAGTGCTTCTATTTAAATGCTGCTTGTGCTGTGTTTGGTTTCTAAGTCTCCGTTTTCTGTTGTATTGTTCATGCCTTGCTCTCCAAGTTTGTGTTTTGCTTATTGAGTAAATCTTGTATTGTTTGCCTGTTATAAAATAAAAAGCCTGCACTTGCATCTATCTCCACCTCTCTGTCACTTTTCGCCATGTGATTACCTTTTAATGTAATGTAATGTACTTTGTGGTTACTCAGACTTTGACTTATACTCATGACTATTCCTTGTATTTAGACTCATTGCTTTGTGATCATTGCTTGTAGCACTCGTGTACTAACACTTAGTCTAAATTATTGTTGCACATCACTCTGTTTCTGCAACTATCTTGCATTTGCTTCTCATCATTTGGGGGATATATAGTTCAGCAGCTCTTGTACTGTTGTTGATGTTTTGAACATCATGATGCATGATTGCATGTTGCCTCATTTTGGATAAAAGCTTTTTCCAAAATGAATAAATGTGAATGTGGCCATAAGCCACCATGTATCACCGCAGAAATCATGCTATAAATCTAAACTGAATGGTTAAAGTAGAAGTCTTCATTTTAGCATATTTATGAATCAATTCTAGATGACTGTGTAATTTGACAGGCCAGATATGAACTCTGGATAATGCACATCAGTCACTTAGCTCTATGAGCTTCTTCTCCACCAGTATAACCAAATTTCTGTTGGCTGTTTAATTTCCAGGAGCCTTTGCATGTATAGGATCTGTCAAAATCTCACTCTTTAAAAAATGAAGTCATCTGAAGCAGCTGAAATAGGAAACCAACTCTACTATAGTGTATTGGCATGCATCTTGTGGTGGGCTATTAAGGGTTCAAATCCCACTCCAACATTCAGTCTATTTTAAACTGATGAAGCCTATGCAGGCACATTTGAAGGGGGATTGCCCATGATAGAATTTTGTAGGGTTGTTCCAAACTGAAGTGATCAAAAGTATTTACTTCAAATGGTCCAAAAGTTGTACAAAGTGGGTCACTTATATATAGTCTATATTGGTTATTGTCTGTTCTATTCTATGCTATTCTAACAGCATTGCATTCATATGTAAAATAAGCCAGCAGTTTCCTCACAGAATTCTAAGATATGGTTTTGCCAATTAGAGGAAAAGAGAGATGCAGCTCAGTGGTAAAGTTCAGTTTTTTATTTATTGATTCATTTTTCTTATTTTTTCTGGTAGGGGTTGCAGTGACAGCAGGTTGAGAAGGTCAGTCCAGACTTCTCTCCACGGATTCCAAGTCCTCCTGAGGGATCATCAGACGTTCCTAAACCAATTATGAGATGCAATAACTCCAGCAGGTCCTGGGTCTGCTGCGGGGTTTGTTTCCAGTGGGGTTTGTGTCTGATACAGCTCTAGTCATTCAGCTGAACCACCTGGAAAGTAGGAGCATTGGCCTTAAGCTCCTGATCTTATAATTGGAGAGCAAGCCCAACAATCCTGAAGAGGAACCTCATTCCTCTGAACTTATTCTTTTTATCACTAACCACAGATCATGCCCATAGGTATGGAAAAGGAGAGTGAGTTCCATCCTAAAACTGAGCTCCTGTTTCACCACCACAGACTGGTACAGTGACTATAATACTACTGCCACTGACCCAATCCGTTTGTCAATCACACTCTTTTTCTATCACTTGTGAATAAGATCCCAAGGTACCTGAACTCCTCCACCAGGGGCAAGGTCTCTTCCCTCCAGAAAATGGTGTAGAGTGGTGCATTTTAGCATTTTTACATCTACCCCTGGTACCTTTGACTTCTACTATAAAGAACACAAAGCTTCAAAGCAGACCTCAACCCAGGCTACAGCTACAGTATTTAACAAATTCTGTGACATTTCCAGTAACATGCCCTAGTCATCTGTTTCTGTTGAGTCGAAGGAATATAGGCTTGTTCCATGTTGTGCTTATAGAAATAGAATAAGCAGTGTTAAACTAAGTTGAGTTTATTGAGTGCAGTTTGGTTAGTAATTCAGATGATGACTTACCAGATTTTATCATACTTTACAATGTAATGTCAAATGTAACTGTCCCTTTTAATCCTATACTAATGCAGAATTCAATGTAAAGGATGTAATCATAGTTATAGGATGTAAATCTTGTGCCAGGATCAATATGTGGACAGGTGATTGGTGTTGAAGGATCAGAACAAATGACAGTTTGTCTGATCTAGTGGCACCAAGCTTCTCAGTAACAGCCACAAGGGAGCTTTCTGTGAAGTTCACCTCTTTAAAGCCAGACTAATTAAGAACCTGGAAGTTGTTCTGGCTCAGAAAGAAAGACAGCTGACTGTATAAAGCATGTTTATGCATGTTAACTTAGAGAATACTTAGTTATAGAAAGAAAGTAGAGAAGTGATACTAGTCAGAAGCTGATGATGTCTGAGGTATCTAGTGTGAGAATAACCCTTGCTGTCTTAGGCAGTAGGCATGTGACCAGATGTTATTTAAGTAATATAGCAAGAGTGTGGTTATACTGAATATCGGCATGGCTGTGGTTCACTGTAAGGTAATCGAAGCCATGCCGATATTCAGTATAACTGCAAGATTGCGAGTGCAATATTGCTTTTATACAACAGTTCTATAAACAAGAAATTAATATTGAGTAAGTGACATCTTGGACACACCATGGCCAAATCTCCCGTTTATTTTTTCTTAGCTAGCAGAAATAGATCCCGAAAAGGCCACACTCACTTTATAGCACATTGGCTAGCTATAAATATATGTAAACTAGCTTACATTGATTTGTACATTCCTGTTAAAGGTGCTCCTGGTAAAATTGGAATCCCTGCTTCCTTTTCATCTTCAAATGATGAGCTTTCATATTTTAAGGCAAAGGTTATATTCCTGAAAAATATCATTTGCTGTGTTTGCTGATGATTTCGCTAAATTTACTTTAGTACTGTTTAAAACTAGGGAGTGGAATTTTCCATGGCGAACACAGACGGGCGGAGTGATATACACAGTGAAACACAGTGAGTGCTGTTATAGGAAATATACACACTTGGAAAGCCGCTCAACCAATCACGTTAGTGGACTGGAACTAACTGTTGTATAAGAAGTCATTTATGATGGAAGTGATGAAAGGGTGGTCTTGAGAGATTTTCTGGAAAGGTGGTAGTTTTGCTGGATGAGTGAAGCTGCAGAATTGCTTCTGTCGAAAGAGGTGAAAAGCATATTATGGAGATGGATGGAAAACAAGGATTTTATTTCTCACTGAAGAAGGTAGAAATGCCATCAGCAGTAAAGTTAGAGTGTAGAGGGGAACTAAGAAATCAAGGAAAATGTTGTGGAACTTGCGTGGATCATGTGCAGATGCTTCCAGCTTGCTCTTGTAAAAGGACGTCTTGGCATTGGTCACATCAGAGAGCTTCAGTAGATGAGAGTGATATCAGAGGAGATCAAAGCATATTATGAAAATGGATGGAAAACAAGGATAGTGCATTGTAGGGATACAATAGAAAGTTTGGCAGCTTTTATTTCTCATTGAAGAAGGTAGAAATGCCATCAGCAGTAAAATTAGAGGGTAGAGGGGAACTAAGAAGTCAATGAAAAATGTTATGGAGCTTGCATGGATCGGGTGATTAATGGGAGAGGTAACAGTAACAACATGGAATTCAAATAAGGAGATGTTAAGGTGAAACAGTGCAAGAGGTGTACAGTGCCATTTCTGGGATAGAAGCAAACCTGTGCCACTATGCCTTCCAGTTTCTTGTCAAATATTGTATTTTGAATATTTTAATACTGCATTGTCATTTACAAACAAAGACTTTGTTCAAAATGAATAATTGTCCATTCATATTAAAATGCCATTGATATAATGGTATCCTGTTGTTGCTATATTTAAGGACTAACCAGACAGAATGAAGAAGACTTTCCAACTTCTATTCAATACTGTGGTCTGTGTTTGTGAGATAGGACATGCCTGGTTATTGCTGATCATGGCACACATCTGAGGCAGATTAGGATTAGGATTGATCCTCTTTCTCTTTCATGTCACAATAACCACAATTTGTACTGATCTAATGCCATATTACTGTCACCTCCAGCTTTATTCACTGCTAGAACCCCCAGGAAAGCAACAGCAGATCGCTTCAAATCTAATAACATTGCTATTGCCACTGATATGGCCATTCATCCAGTGACATCTGAGACATGCCACAGCACCTCATTTAGAGTTATATAAACTGCTTCGAGTCATACATTATTACATAAAGTTTTAAATGAATCATGTTCACAGTCCTTAAGTACACACAGTCAATTACTGTGGGCTATTCAAAATGAACAAGTGAACAAATTTCTGCAATTCAGATGAAGATAAGGAAATTCTTGAATTGATTATTGCTCATAATGAGCCTCCGTCTCAAGTAGAACTAAGTTAAAATCAGATTTTCAAAGACCTTAAGTAAATGTAAAGCTGTTACTGTTACTGTTGGAAAAATCTTACAGCTTTATCATCCATATGTAAAACCAAATGGATAAACTGGTGCTTTGCCAGTTATGAGCACACCTAATTAAATTTACACCATTTAGCAGATGCCTTTATCCAGAGCGGAGGATTACACTGTACAATTCTGGCACAA